GGTCAGGTTCTGCACTGGATTCCAAGACCTCAGACTCAGCAGGGCTGGAGCCTGGGGTGGGTTAATGCCGTGCGAGCCTGGCCTGTCCCCGTTGGGGAACACAAAGGCAGCTTTCTCTCTCTGAGTGGGGTGTTGGGGGGGGGTGCTGGAGAGACACTTAGGCCCGCCAGCGCCCAATGGCCTGTGGCACCAGGACCCAAGCACCCACTGGTTCCTAGCTGTGCAAACTCCAGGCCCATAGGCTCTCAAGAAAGGGGCACCCAACTCCCCCTTTGCACACCCGTGGGGACACAGGGCTCTTCTGGCAGTGGGGTGAATAGATGGCACTGGAGGTGGAGGACGGGACAGTAGAAGCTCAGTGTGGTGTGCACTCTTCTCGGAGCAGACATTCTTGCCTCGACCCCAAACCAGGGGGAGCCTCCTAGGACTCCCCACCCCCTGACTGGGCCTGGGGCCCAGAATCTGGAGAGTTCTGAATATCCCAGGAACGTGGGGACCAAAGGCAGGAGCTTTGTGTGTGAGGCTGCTGATTCACCTCCACACCCACACCTAAGGCCTGGGTCCTCAGAGAGGGGGGCAGAGGGCTATGGGAAGTGAGGCTGTACTTCTACAGGCTGAGGGCTGTGGACTTGGAGTAAAAAATTTTCAGGAGAAGAGGGGGAAGAGGTCCTGGACTCCCAGATCCAAGGGAGGAGGGTGCTGAGGGGTCTCAACTCTTGAGTCTGAAGGAGGAGGGCGGTAGAGGCCTGGGTCTGAGGGATGAGGATACTGGGGATCTGGACTCCTGAGTCTGGAGAGGAAGGAGCTGGAGGTTTAGATTCCTGAGGTTAGAGAGAAAGGGGCGGGGGGTGGGGGGTGTCTGACTTCTGGGTCTGAGGAAGAGGGAGCTGGGGGTTTGGACTCCTGGGTCTCAAGGAGGAGGGAGCTAGAGGCGTAGATTCCTGGGTGTTAGAGAGGAGGGGGCTGGGAGCCTGACTGCTGAGTTTGAGGAAGAAGGGCCTGGGATCTCACTGCTTGGTCTGAGGGAGGAGGTCTGAGGACCTGGACTCTTGGGTTTGAGGAGGGGCTGGGATCTGACTCCTGGGTCTGAGGGTGGAGACAGATGAGATCTTGGACTCTGTCTAAGGGACCGAGAGGGAAGAGTGTTAGGGCTGGAACTCATTGGTCCTGAGGGAGGAGGGGGCTGGAGGTCCATATGACTGGGTTCTGAGAGAGGAAGGGGCTCTGGGGGGGGTCACTCTAGGTTTCTGGAGAGGAGGGGCTGGGACCCCTATGCCTAGGTTCTGCGAATACAGGCGCGCCTTTACAAGGCTGAGTTAGGGAAGAATTGATGCTTTGTGCAAGGATCTTCGGACTCCGCCATTGATGGGGGGCTGACGGGGGTTTCGGTCAGGATGCAGGGACGTACCACCTCCCCAGGGGAGCAAGGCGGGAAGGAAGCATGAGCCTTAAGTCCCCTGGGGAGACTAGACACAGAGGGTGATAGTGACCTTCCCGGAACCATGACCTTGAGACTCCCTTGGGTATTCGCTGACTCAGGACCCAGGAAGTGCTCCCCCCACCCCGCTGAGTCTCCGTGGAAACATCCACCAGCTGTGTGTTCCGGACCCCTGGCTCTTCGCTCTTGAAGGAGGAGGGGGCTGGAGGCCCAGGCTCCTGGGTCTGCCGGGGTGGGGAAGAAGTCTGGGGGTTTGGTTTCCTAAGCTTTAAGGGAAGAAGGATGTAAGGAAATCAGTTTCCTGGGTTCTGATGAAGGAGGCACCTGGGGGCCCACATGTCTGGGTTCTGGGGTAGGAGGAGGTTAGAACCTGGATTTCAGGCTCCAAAGAGGGGAGGTGCTGGATTCCTCAGGCCATGGGAAGAGGAGGTCAGAGGTCAGAATCCTGGGTCCTGAGGGGTGAGGAGACTGGGGCATTGGATCCCTGGGTCTCTAAATACCACCTGCTCAGTGTCACTTTCCCAAACCTTTTTCCATCCCTGTGACGACTCCAGGCTGTCAACACCGTTTAAAGGGCCAGTGCCCCAGTCCCCAAAGCTCAACCCTGCTCTGACCAAAAAAAGTCCCACCCCCCACTACCCCAACCCCTGAAAACAAAAGCTCTGGGAACATTAATATTCTAGGCACAGTCACTGTTGGTTACTGACTCCTCAGAAAGGGGAGGGAATAGCACACAAGTGCCCCCCCTTGCCCCATGTGCACCCTCAAGCTGAGGACAGGGGTTAAGTTTTAGGGGACAGATCCAGAGATGCTGATGGCTCCCAGGAGATGGGCAGCTTTTGCTGCTGGCTTTCCATGAGACCCCTTGGCCTTATTCTCCACATCTGTAAAATGGGGGAGCTGGGGGGGGGCAGGCTGGCATTAGACTAGCCCCAGGGTCTAAAATCCATGGATAGACTTCAAGATGGTTTTCAAAGTGCCAGAATGTGCCGGCCAGTTTCCATGTTCGTGGGCATGAATCCAGAGGCTGTAATAACAGCCTTGTAGAGAGGGTTCCCTGGGCTTGGAGCCCTGAGCTCATCCCAGTGAAGCAGACACTGGCGTCATCCCCATTTTATAGATGGGGTCAGTGAGGCTCCAGAAGGTGAAGCCAGCTACCCAAGGTCACACCGATGACAGGCGATTCCACTGGGCTCTCATTCCCAAGTCAGGTGAGACGAATGATGTCATCACGTCCTTGGGAAGCTGAAGTCAAATCCTACCTGAGATACAGGATTCGGCAAGCTCCTAGAAAGGTGCTGTCACCTCCCTGCCTTTGCCGTTACTTGCCGTCACATCAACTGCGACTCATAGGGACCCTGTGAAAAACAGATCTGGACTTGGCCTGTCCTGCACCTCATCACCACCTCTGACACTCTTGAGCCCATTGTTACAGTCACTGTGTGGAGCCATCACATTGCATGCCTTCCTCTCCTACCCTGACCCTTCACCTTTCCCAACACAGTGTCCTCCTCTAAGGACAGACCCCTGCTAACAACATGTCCAGAGTACGTCAGATGAAGATTCTCCACCCTCACTTCCAAGGAGTACCCTGATCACATTTTGTCCAAGACAGACTTGTTCATCCTTTTAGCAGTCCACGGAATGTTCCGTGTTCCTCTCCTACACTACAACTCAAAGGCATCAGTTAGTCTTCTGTCATCCTTAGTCACTGCCTAACTTTCAGATACATAGCAAGTAATCAAAAAGACCATGGCTTGGATCAGTTGCACCTTAGTCCTTAAACTGACTTCCTTGCTTTTCAGCACCCTGGAGAGGTCTCTAACAGAAGATTTTTCTCAATGCAGTAAATATTTTTATTTCTTGACTGTTGGTACCAAGAGTGTTGATTGTAGATCCAAGTTAGATGAAATTGTTGACGATTTCAATCTTTTTTCCAACTATCATGGCCTGTTGGTGAGGATTTTTGCTTTCTTGATGTTGAAATATAATCTGTAGCAAAGGCTGTAGTCTGATTTGTTGCAGCAAGCGTTTCAAGTCCTCCTCACTTTTAGCAAGCAAGACTGATCTGATCTGATCCAGCTGCACATTCCTGCCTTTATGGCAGGAATATTCCAGTCACAGAGCCCAGATGATAAACAAGTAAACAGATTAGTCAAATAACCTCGATGAAATTTCCAGAGACTGCTGTTAACTCAAAACTCAACTCACTGCCGTGGAGGTGGGACCGACGCCTAAGTCACCCTCCACTGGGTTTCTGAGGCTGTAAATCTCAATAGCAGTAGATTGCCCTTTTTCTCCCTCAAAGTCACTGGTGGATTGGAATCTCCAGAGAGGAGGTACCTTGGGTTAGCAGCGCAGCCCTTGTGGGCTACACCACCAGAGCTCCCGGTGGTGCTGGTGGTACCATCGAGTTAGAACCAGCTAGTTTTCAGAGGCATGAGAGGAAATTTGCCCATCTTTCTTCCATGGAGCAACTGGTGTGTTTGAACCTCAAGCCTTTGGGATGGCAGCACAGCTCCTTACTAGGTCACCAATGCTCCTTCGGGTAAATAAAACAGCAGTGATGAAATAAAACTGTGTGCTGGAGGGTGAAGAATGGAGACTGAGGGGAGGCCCCGGTACAACCAGAGACTTGAGTGGGAATAGAGACAGCTCCCGGGCTGAAGACCTTTGCAGACAGAACAAGTACCAAGGCCCTGGGGTGGTGACCAGCAAGTCACCTTTGAAGGACGTCAGTGTTGGGGAGGTTTGAATGAAGTGGGTGGTCAGAGAAGGGTGGGGCCACGTGGCGTCTTGGAGATCAGAGGAACGAATCTAAGTTTAATGGGTAGCCCTTGGAAGGATTTTAGCAGAGAGGTGACTAAATCCATCTGGTTGCTGTGAGGAGAATAGCCTGGTGGAAACAGGCATAGAAATAGGTAACCCTGACTTGAGTAGGTTCTGTAAGGGTTCAGGTGAGAGATGATGTGGCTGGATGAAGGTGTTGGTGTTTAGTTGTTGTTGTTAGGTGTCTTCTACAACCCATAATGACCCTACGAGCAGCAATCTGAACCTTGCCCTATCCTGTCCTGTCTTCATCTCTGTTAGGCTCCGGCCTGTTGTTAACAGTCACTGTGCCAGTCAGTCTTGTTGACCGTCTTCCTCTCTCTGGCGGTAATAGTGGTGGAGATATACAAAGAGGAATCAACTTGGGAGGGATTTTGGACTTGGGAGATTTTTGAACCATTCTTGCCAGTAGAATGGGTGTTGGGTTGGACAGAAGAGAATGAATATGGGTGATAGTCCTAAATTTTTGGACAGAGCAGCTGGGTTACTGGATGTGACATTTACTGAGTTTGAGAAAACTTGAGGTGAAGAAATTTGGGGTAAGGGTTAATTAGTTAGACTTAATAAGTTTTATATCCCAGGAGGGATTTGGTAAATCTTAAATAGTAGCTTACATACACAACGTGTTATATTCAAACATGAAAGTGCGGAAGACTAGTTCTGTTAGGACAGCTCCAGTGACCCAGGCACTTTCCAGCTCTTTAATTCCACCATCCTTCATGCTCTTGCCCTCATGGTCCACTATGACTGCCAGAACGCCAGCCATCACATCCTAGCTCCAATCAACACAAAGATGATCTGGCGTTGGGGAGGTTTGTCCACCCCAAATAACCATATGATGCTTTTGCTTACATCCAATTTAACAACACTTTTTCTCCTACCTACAAGATCTCAAACTCATTACCATCAAGTCAGAGTAGACTCATGGCTGACCCTCCAGCAGATTTTTGCAGACTGTAAATCACACAGGAGATGATTCATCTTTCTCCCTCAGAGCTATTAGGGTATTCAGACCATCTGAGAGGTGCCCCCTGTGGGTCAGCAGCACAGCTCCCTGTGGACCAAGCTACTATAAAGAGAAAGGGAAACACGGGTGTCAGGGGAAGCAGGCTGCTGTCTACCCTCACCTTCTGGAAGCAGGCTGCTGTCTACCCTCACCTTCTGGAACTAATCTTTCCCACACCTCAGTCCCCAAATCCGGTTATTTACCCCATATTTGGGGAAAGAGCCACCTTTGATGGGATTTTACAGTGATCTGTGTCTGTCTGCCTCCCATAATCTCTAAGGTTGGGACCTCATCTGATTTCTCCCTGGGCACCCAGCCCCTGTTTAAGAAATTACACTACCAACCCAAAGGTGAGTGGTTTGAATCCACCAGCTCTGCAGGAGAAAGATAAGCATTCTCCCCTGCCACCTCCTGCCTTTGTAAAGCTGCTGGAAGGTCAGCTCTGAGGGATTTCTACTCCTTGGCAGTGAATTTGAGGGTGTTGTGTGTTTTTTTTAACTCAAGAAATACTCAAATGAATGAGACCTTGGGTCAGAATGAAGGAGGCATGAAGAGCTAGCTACCTAGCATTTAAAGAATAACCAGATCTGATAAGGTCCGTTTCCTGCTTCATAACCTCCTCTGGCCTTCAGGAGGAAAGCTAGTCTCAGTTTGGCATTCATCATCCTTTATAAGCTCATCCTACTTAATGTGCTGACCGCCCTCCATCACCCCTCACCAGTGCTGTACCGTTCAGCCAGGAGGGAGAAGAACACATAGGTGGAATCAGAGATCTGGGTGCTGTGATGTTGGGCAAGTCATTTCATCTCTCTGGGCTAATTGTCCCGTCTGTAAACTTGTTCTTATATACTGTTGGGCAGTCTCCTCTCATGCGATTTACTGCCTCTGAAGACCTGGAGGGTCGGCAGTGAATTGGTTCCAATTTGATGGCACACAACAAATTTGATGGCATTGCAGGGGTTATGGAGCTCTGATGGCCCATTATGTGTTGTGCTGCTAACTTAAATTTGAGCCCACCAGATACTCCTTCAGAGAAAGGTGGTATTGAAAGGGCTGTGGTAGTTCAGTCGTAGGGTTCTTGCCTTTATGTGGGAGACCTGAGTTTCAATGCAGTTACACCTCCAGGCAATGTACTTCCTGGGCAGCCACCACCCTCTTTCAGTGGGGGCTTACATATTGGTACAACAAAGAACAGATTTCAGCAGAGTCTGGATTAAGACAGACTAGGAAGAAAGGCCTGGCAATCTATGTCAAAGACCAGTTTACAGATGACAGCAGTTCCACCTGCAATCACGGTGAGCAGGCAGCATCTTGTTCCACTGTGCGTGGATCGCCACAGGTCACGGGCCAAATCTGACGCAGCAGACAATTGTGTTTACTGTTATTTTGAAAATGACAGTGTTGGTGGTGATGGCTAGTCCCAGCTTTGAGCTTTTCTATAGGCTATTTCTTCATCTGGATGTGTCCCCTTTCTAAAGGCCCACCTGCCTCCTCTGATGTCAGGGAAAGTTAATGTCTGTAAGAAACAGCACGGTGATTTCACACAAAGACGTTTATTCCTCCATCACGCATGTCACAATACTGTGCTGCTCTGGGAGGCAGTCATTCAGGTCCCAGGCTCCTTCCACCTCGTGATATTGACCTTCTCTGGAGTCCTTGGTGTCCTCTCCATTCAGCGAGCATGAATGACTACGAGAGAGATGAGTCAGGCCAAGAAGTGGTGTTTCTGTCTCTCACCTACATCCCATTTTAAAAGCCCTCAGACTCATTGCCATGGGCAGGATTAACCATAGGTGACTTTCCAGTGGATTTTTGGAGGCTGCAGATGACACAGGAGGAGATTGCCTGTCTTTCCACAGAGCCACTGGTGGATTCAATCCACCAGAGAGGAGCTGCCTTTGGTTAGCAGCGGAATCCCCTACAGACTATGCCACCAGCAGCTAGGCCCCAAAATAAATCCACATTGTTGTTGTTATTGTTGGTTGCCATGGTGCTTGCCTCGAGTCCTGGCATGCCCGCGTGTGCCCAGCAGAACGTGCTCCATAGAGCTTTCAAGGCTGTGCCTTTCCGGAGCAAGCCACCAGGCCTTTCTTCTTAGGCCCCTGCATAGCTCTGAACTGCCAGCCTTTTGATTACTGGTCTAGTGCTTAACCATTTGCACCACCCAGCAACTTCTAACAGGTCATTTGGTCCCAACAAACTACAAAGGGTGCAGGCAAATGTAATTGTGTTTTATCAGCAGACTCCCAACAATTTAATGGCTTAAAACAACCACCACTTTATTAGCTCCCCGCCCTGGGAACCAGTAATTTGGGCTGGATCCAGCCGGGCAGTTCTGCTCTTGGTCTCAACTGGTGTCATCCCAGTGGCTACAGTCGCCTGACCGTGCTAATGATCCAGGGCAGCCTCACTCACAGGCTTGGCTGTGGGCTGGGCTGCTCACTGTGTGGTCTCATCTTCAAAGAGGCCAGTCCCACATCTTCACAGAACAACAGAGGGCAGCAGGAAGACAAGAGCTGACCAAGCAAACTGTCTTGAGGTTTCAGCTCCAGAACCCATCATCGCTCACACACTCTTTGTCATCAAGTCAGGAGCGGCTCAGGGCTGACCCTCCAGCGGGTTTTTAGAGGCTGTAAATGGCACAGGAGGAGCTTGTCCATCTTTATCCCGTGGAGCCGTTGGTAGATGTGAGCCTTTGAGTTAACAGAGTAACTCCCTACAGACTGTACCAGCTGAGCTTGCCTGTGTAATGAAACCAAACAAAAAAAGCCAACTCATTAGAGTCTATTTCAACTCATGGTGCCCCCTTGTGTTACATAGGAGAACAGCTCTGAGGGTTTGTTTTTTACTACAATTTCTTTTTTAACTGTGTGTGTGTGTGTGTGTGTGTGTGTGTGTGTGTGTGTACTGTCAAATTGGATCTGACTGGTACAGGAGGAGATTGTCCCTCCTTCTCCAGCAGAGCATCTGGTGGATTCACACCGCACACCTCTGGGATTGCAGTGCAGCTTCTTGCCACGAGGCTACCAGAGCTCCTTTGTTTTTTACTATAATCTTTACAAAAGAAGCCCTGGTGGTGCAGTGTGTAATGTATCTGGCTGCTAACTGAAGGTTGGCAGTTTGAATTTCCCAGTCGCTCTATGAGAGAAAGATGGGCAGTCTTCTTCCATAAAGACTTAACAAACCTTGGAAACGGGATAGAGAATCACTGTGAGTTGGAATCAGTTTGACAGCAGTGAGTCTGCCATCTTGTTTTGTGGAAGCCAATTGCCAGGCATTTTTTCCTTGGCACCGCCAGGTGAGTTCAAGCTGCCAGTTAGATTAGTCATCAGGAGCACACTGTGCTCCAGCCAGGGGCACAACATACACCTTCCAGAAAATTCTGCTGGGCCAAAGAAAGTCACAAAGCCTGCTCAGACTGGAGGTGAGTAGGACACCTCCTTTCTAGGAGGAACAGCAGAGTCAGCTTGCAAACAGCAGGTATGGGGGTGGGACAAACACTGTGAGTACGGTGACCATCATTGCACAGACGCCCAGGTGTGAAGGGTATACACACGGCAGTCTCACACCTGCTGAATTCTTGCTCACTGTTTTTTCCTCTTTTACTTATTCATGATGACGTCTTTCCTTTTTCAAAACTGTGTTAAGTATGTTTGAACAAACCACTTGCCTTTCCAACGTCCTTTGTGTATTTAACTCAATGACATTAATCCATCCTATCCCCTGCCCTCGAGTTCCTTCCTGCTCATGGAAACCCACCAGGTGCACTTTTCCAGGAGCCAACTGTCCCGTCAGTGTTGTTAGGAGAGGCTGGTGGATCCGAGCCGCTGACCTTCTCATTAATGGTCTGCCACATAAGGCACTATGCCATTAGGGCTTTTAGTTAATGGCTATCCTGTTGGACATCGTGCTTGGAAAGGTGGGGGGTCAGGAGAAGCCCTCATCAAGAGGAATTGACACTGTGACTGCAGCAATGTGTGTCAGGGATGAGGAGGAGCACGCCAGGGCAGGGTTCGGATCTGTTGTTCCTCCGGTCGCTGTGAGCAGTGTTTGACTCTAGGGCACTGATAACAACTTGTTGATCAATTATTCCACATCATTTGGTTCCAGATTTTTCTATCACATGTAACAGAAACAGCGTCTCCTTACCTGTTCACTCTTTAAGACCCATTTCAACACAGCATCATCCCAGCAGCTGCCTCTGACCGTTGGCCTCCATGGCTGCCTAGCCTCCCCTTCCTGAGTTCCTAGTGCGCCCAGGCAACCTCACTGTAGCACGTCGCCGTGACCAGGCTCCCCCAGAGCAGACAGCAGGTTCTGTCCACTTCCCAGACTACAGCTCTAGCAAACGCTCCGTATGAAGAACTGGATGAGAGAGGAGAGGCCTCAGAGGATTGGATGGAGAACTACAGAGGAAGAAAGAAAAGGTTGATTTGTAGCCCTTGAACCGCCTCCTGTTTTGTCTCTGCCTACAGGGACAGGACAAGAAGTACAGACAGAGAATGTGACAGTGGCCGAGGGTGGGGTGGCTGAGATCACCTGCCGACTGCACCAGTACGATGGGTCCATAGTTGTCATCCAGAACCCAGCCAGGCAGACCCTCTTCTTTAATGGCACCCGGGGTGAGTGCTGGGGACTGGACTCCTGGGTCTGGGGGGGGGGGGCTGAGGCTCTAGACTCAAGGATCTGAGGGAGGAAGGATTTGGGGTCTGGACTCTTGAGTCTGAGAGAGGAAATGCTGGGAGCCTAGACTCCCAGGTCTGAGGGGGGTGTCTTGGGGGACTGGGTTCCTGGGTCTGAGGGAGGAGGGGCCAGGACTTGAACTCCTAGGTCTGTGGTGAGAGCCTGGGTCAGCCTGGAAGTAAATGCAGTAGGCATCTCGGACTCATACACATGGCTGGAGAAAAGAGGACTGGACAAAGGATGGGACCTGAGTGCCCAGGGCTCCAGGAATTCACTCCTCTAGTGGCCTAGTGGTAGGAAGCTGCACTGCAATCCCAAAAGCATGTGGTTGGAATCCACCAGCCGCTCTGCAGGAGGCTAGGCATTCTCCTCTCTTGCAATTAACTGTGAACACGTGTGGAGGGTCAGCTATGGGTCAGTTTTGACTCGATGGCATACAGCAACCACTTCCCAATTCCAGCCCTGAAGGACGAGCGTTTTCAGCTTGAGGAGTTCTCCCCACGGAGGGTGCGGATCCGGCTCTCCGACGCCCGCCTGGAGGACGAGGGGGGCTACTTCTGCCAGCTCTACACGGAGGACACCCACCACCAGATCGCCACACTCACTGTGCTAGGTAGCGGCCTCGCCACTCCCCACCCACCCCCGCTTATTTTTTGTTCTGAGATCTTCTGACCCTGGTTGTCAACTTCCTGGACACCCTGGCCCCTGTATATATGGCCTGACTGCAGCTCCTGGGTCATCCTGCAGGTTTCCTTGACCACTCCTTTCCCCCACCCATCTCCCTGCAACAGTGGCCCCCGAGAATCCAGTGGTGGAGGTCCGGGAGCAGGCAGTGGAGGGCGGCGAAGTGGAGCTCAGCTGCCTGGTTCCGCGGTCCCGCCCAGCTGCTGTCCTGCGCTGGTACCGGGACCGCAAGGAGCTGAAAGGTAAGAGGGGCAGGATGGCCACTAGGCAGGATGAGGGAGCAGGGATACAGGGGTGGGGCTCAGGAAAGAGACTGCTGTGTGGGCAGGGTTTATTCAAGAAGTGGGCTTGAAAAGAGGTCTAGTCTAGGGGTGTGCACTCAGAAAAAAGGTAATAGTCTCAGGGGTAGAGGCTTATAAAATAGTCCAGTTTCTAAGCAGGCAAGTAGGAAGGATATGGACATGGACCCTGGGAAGAGAATAAGAATTCTAAGAGGTAGAGGGAGCTCCCACAGCCCAATGGGCAGGGAGTTGGACTGTTAACCCAAATGCCCCGGTTCAAACCTACCATTTGATCCACAGAGGAAGATGGGAAATCTCCTCTTGTGTTATTTACAGCCTCAGAAAACCCACTGAAAGGTCTGCTATGAGTTCCAACTCAACAGCAAACAAGAGGTGGGGGTTGGAAATAAATCAGGAAGCAAAGAATGTGAGGTTAATGGAGTGGAGGGCTCCTTAGTGCTAGTTTGAAGAAAGACGGGTAGTTTTTTTTGTTTTTTTTTTAAGGGGCAAACTGGTGAGTTCTCTATGGATAGAGATTGGAGGAGAGAGTTTATTAGTCCTGAAAACTACCTATTGCTCTTTATCTTGGTTTTGGTCAATAAATAAAAAGAGGTGCCAGTGAAAGAGAGAGGGGCTTTGGAAAGAAGCTCTGACTTGATTTGGGAAGGGGCGTGGCTTAGTCTACTAGACACGTGGTTTGTACATGAGAGACAACTGGGGGTTTGTGGCTGTAAATGGCGAGAAGCAGATACTGCAAGCAACTCCCTGGGCAGTGGGCCACCAGAATTAGCAAAGGGACAGGACTTGCACATAGCTGGCTTAGAGATCTGTTGGAGAGGGGACGATCCTGGGCAGACAGCCGGACTGGAATCCACTGTGTTGGGGACGGGGCAGGAGTGAGCAGCCAACAGGAAAATGGCAAGGTCTGGAGAGTGATGAGCACAGCGCGGTTCCGCGTGGACCGCAAGGACGACGGTGGCATCGTCGTCTGCGAGGCACAGAACCAGGCGTTGCCCTCTGGACACAGCAAGCAGACGCAGTACGAGCTGGACGTGCAGTGTAAGTGCCCCCGCAGGACAGCTCCCCCGCAACACTCCCCCAGAAAGGTGACATATGCCGACTACCCCTTTGCACTTTGTCCCACAGACTCCCCCACCGCCCGTATCCATGCCTCCCAGGCCGTAGTGAGGGAGGGTGACACGCTGGTGCTGACTTGTGCTGTGACAGGGAACCCCAGGTGAGCTCAGAGACCCCTTGATCTTCTTGGACGCTGGGGAACAGAGCTGGGGGCCTGAGCTCCGGAGTCCTTAGCATGGAGGTGTCTGGAGGAATGAGACTGTGAAGTCCCCCCACCCCCCAGGTGATATCTTGGTGATATTAGGAATTGGGCCTGGAGCTGGGAAGCAAAGAACTACGAAGGTGCCCTTTCGTGTTCCCACTCCTTTACAACCTCGTTTTCCAGGCCCAACCAGATTCGCTGGAACCGCGGGAATGATTCCCTGCCAGAGCGGGCTGAGGCTATGGGGGAGACACTCACCTTGCCTGGGCTGGTATCTGCCGATAATGGCACCTACACCTGCGAGGCGTCCAACAAGCATGGCCACGCGAGGGCGCTCTACGTACTCGTGGTTTATGGTGAGGGAGCGTGGGGCCGCTTTGGGGGCGGGCCTGGGTTCTCCCACAAATCCAGTTCAGTGCTCTGGGGTCCTGTGTGGGCTAGGCCTTGGGAATGGACAAAGTAGGGCAACAGGGTAGGAAGTGCACAGGGCCGCAGTTGCATTTTTGAGGGAGTGTGAGTTGTGCAAACTGAAAAATTCAGCATCAGAATGGAATTCCAAAGTTCTTTATAAACTTACAATAAAATCTCAATAAAGAAAGGTAGGAAGGGGAAAAGGAAGGAGAAGGGAGGGAAGGAAGAAGGGAAGGAGGGAGGAAAGGAAGATGCATTCAGTATCAAAATCAGGTTCAAATTCATCTTTGTTTTGTTGGAACCAAGTGATTATATGCTAACTGCCAAGCAAAGGATTGATGGTTGTGACTGTGTGCTACCCTGATAATTTACAGCCTGGAAACCCTTTCCAGCAGATTAACTCTGTCCTTCGAGATTGCAATTGTTGTTAGATGCCGTTGAGTCAACTACAGCTCATAACAGATCTAAGCCTTGCCCTCTTCTGCATCAGCCTCACGATTTCTGATATGCTCTTTGTAACAATCAGTGTCCTCCATTAGTCAGAATTCACTTGACTGGCAAGAGGTTTGAGTTTTAGGGTTTTTATTTTATTCTTTAAGTTTTCTCATCAGTAAAGTAGAAAGGAACATCAATACCTACATTGTAGAATTGTGGGGATCATATGTGTAAAGTGATGGGAATGGTCCTTAGTATGTGATTAGTGATTATTGTTGTGTACCATAGAGTCAGAACTGACAGATAGCAGACCCTCCAGCGAATTTTCAGAAGCTGTTATTAAACAGGAGGAGATTGTCCATCCTTCTCCCACAGAGCAGGTGTTGGCCTAGAACTGTGTGCCTTTGGGATTACAGCGTAACTTCTTGCCAGTAGGCCACCAGAGTATGTGTACCTTAGCATAAAGAAACAAAGTGCTTTTGACTGAACCAATAAGCAATACCACGACAAACAGGAAAAGATTGAAGTTGTCAAGGATTTCATTTCCTTTGGATCCACAGTTAATGCTCATGGAAGCAGCAGTCAAGAAATCAGACAACATATTTCATTGACCAAATCAGCCACAAAAGACTTCTTTAAAATGTTCAAAAGCACCACAATAAGATAAAGGTAAAAAACCCTATTGAAAAATGGGCACAGGATATGAACAGACACTTCACCAAAGAAGACATTCAGATAGCAAACAAACACATGAAGAAATGTTCAAAATCCCTAGCTATAAGAGAGCTGCAAATCAAAACAACTATGAACTATCATCTCACCCCAGTAAGAATAGCAAAATTTAACAGAACAGCAAACAACAAATGCTGGCGAGGTTGTAGAGAAATTGGAACCCTTATTCACTGTTGGTGGGAGTGTAAAATGGTGCAACCACTGTGGAAGGCTGTATGTGCTTTCTCAAAAAGTTGCAAATAGAAATACCATTTGACCCAGAAATTCCACTACTGGGAATATACCCCAAAGAAACCATAACCGCCACCCACGCAGATAAATGAACACCCATTTTTATCATGGCTTTGTTCACAATAGCAAAGAGTTAGAAAACAACCTAAGTTGCCCATCAACAAACGAATGGATAGAGAAGCTCTGATACTCACACAATGGAATACTATCCTTCATTGAAAAACAAGGAACTCATGAAATATTATTCAAAATGGGTGACCCTAGAGGACATTATGCTGAGTGAAGTATCTCAGTCACAAAAGGACAAATACTGCATAGTGCTACTGTTGTAAAGCAGGTCTGACATTGGGGTTGTGGGGAGACTGAGAAAGATGGGATAAATTATGTATACTGCATTGAAAGAGATGAGGGAGAGAACTGTTTAAAAGGGATATATGATTAGGTATTATTGTCATGACAGGAGTCCAGAATGAAGGCTGCATAGTGAAGTGGACTTGGGAGGAGGGATTGTAAAGCAATGAAAGAATTTTTCTTTTACTTTTCAAAAAGATGAGCTATTGGGGGGAGGGGGGAAGTTGAGCAGGGAGAAAAGTGCAACAATGAATGAATGGAAATCCAAAGTCTCTAAACGTTCATTAAAATTAATAATAATTTTTTTTTAAAAAAGTGTTCAAAAGCAAAGATGTCACTTTGCGGATTAAGATGAGCCTGACCCAAGCCAAGTTCTTTTCAGTTGTCTCATACATCCACAGGAGCCAAAATATGACTTTGATTTCATACCACCTGAATTTCAGAATCATCTCAGGAACAGGTTTGAGGCCTTGAACACTAATGAGCGAAGA